GTGGCCCCTCTATAAACATGTACATCCTGAAGTCTACTCAACAGTCTTTTATCTACCAATACATAATCCAACAAACTACTGTCATTTCGCCCTACATCATATCTTGTATACTTATTTATCCTCTTTTTCTTAAAATATGTATTACCTATAACTAAACCCCTTTCTATACAAAGTTCAATCAAAGGGCTCCCATTATCATTTACACCTGGCACCCCAAACTTACCTACCACACCCTCTCTAAAAGTTTCTCCTACTTTAGCATTTAGGTCCCCTACCACAATTACTCTCTCACTTGGTTCAAAGGCTCCTATACATTCACTTAACATCTCCCAAAATCTCTCTCTCTCCTCTGTATTCCTCTCTTCTCCAGGTGCATACACGCTTATTATGACCCACTTCTCGCATCCAACCTTTACTTTAATCCACATAATTCTTACATTTACACGTTCATATTCTCTTTTCTCCTTCCATAACTGATCATTCAACATTACTGCTACCCCTTCCTTTGCTCTAACTCTCTCAGATACTCCAGATTTAATCCCATTTATTTCCCCCCACCGAAACTCCCCTACCCCCTTCAGCTTTGTTTCGCTTAGGGCCAGGACATCCAACTTCTTTTCATTCATAACATCAGCAATCATCTGTTTCTTGTCATCTGCACTACATCCACGCATATTCAAGCATCCCAGTTTTATAAAGTTTTTCTTCTCTTTTTTTAGTAAATGTCTACAGGAGAAGGGGTTACTAGCCCATTGCTCCCGGCATTTTAGTCGCCTCATACAACACGCATGGCTTATGGAGGAAAGATTCTTTTACACTTCCCCATGGACAATAGAAGAAATAAAGAAGACAAGAGCTATGTAGAAAAAGGAGAAAAACCTAGATGTATGTATATATATATGCATGTGCGTGTCTGTGAAGTGTGACCAAAGTGTAAGTTGGAGTAGCAAGATATCCCTGTTATCTAGCGTGTTTATGAGACAAAAAGACACCAGCAATCCTACCATCATGCAAAACAGTTACAGGTTTCTGTTTCACAGTCATCTGGCAGGACGGTAGTACTTCCCTGGGTGGTTGCTGTCTACCAACCTACTATATATATAACACACACACATATATATATATATATATATATATATATTTATATATATATATATATATATATATATATATATATATATATATATATATATATATATATTATATACTCACCTAATTGTAGCTGCAGGGGTCGAGACTCAGCTCCTGGCCCCGCCTCTTCACTGAACGCTACTAGGTCCTCTCTCTCCCTGCTCCATGAGCTTTATCGTACCTCGTCTTAAAGCTATGTATGGTTCCTGCCTCCACTACAATACTCGCCAGACTGTTCCACTTCCTGACCACTCTATGACTGAAGAAATGCTTCCTAACATCCTTGTCACTCACCTGAGTCTTCAACTTCCAAGAGTGACCCCTTGTTTCTGTGTCCCCTCTCTGGAACATCTTGTCTCTGTCCACCTTGTCTATTCCACACAGTATTTTGTATGCCGTTATCATGTCTCTCCTAACCCTCCTGTCCTCCAGTGTCGTCAGGCCGATTTCCCTTAACCTTTCTTCGTAGGACATTCCCCTTAGCTCTGGCACTAACCTTGTCGCAAACCTTTGCACTTTCTCTAATTTCTTAACGTGCTTGACCTGGTGCGGGTTCCAAACTGGTGCTGCATGCTCCAGTGTGAGTGTACTCACCTATTTGTACTCACCTATTTGTGGTTGCAGGGGTCGAGTCCTAGCTCCTGGCCCCGCCTCTTCACCGGTTGCTACTAGGCCCTCTCTCTCCCCGCACCATGAGCTTTATCAAACCTCGTCTTAAAACTGTGTATGGTTCCTGCCTCCACTACGTCATTTTCTAGGCTATTCCACTGCCTTACAACTCTATGACTGAAGAAATACTTCCTACTATCTCTCTGACTCATTTGTGTCTTCAACTTCCAATTGTGGCCTCTTGTTTCTGTGTCCCCTCCCTGGAACATCCTGTCTTTGTCCACCTTGTCTATTCCACGCAGTATTTTATATGTCGTTATCATGTCTCCCCTGACCCTCCTGTCCTCCAGTGTGGTCAGGCCGATTTCCCTTTATCTTTCCTCATAGGACATTCCCCTTAGCTCTGGAACTAACCTTGTCGCAAACCTTTGTACTTTCTCTAGTTTCTTGACGTGCTTTATCAAGTGCGGGTTCCAAACAGGTGCTGCATACTCCAGTATGGGCTGACATACACGGTGTACAGTGTCTTGAATGATTCCTTACTAAGGTATCGGAATGCTGTTCTCAGGTTTGCCAGGCGCCCATATGCTGCAGCAGTTATCTGATTGATGTGTGCTTCCGGAGACATGCTCGGTGTTATACTCACCCCAAGATCTTTCTCCTTGAGTGAGGTTTGCAGTCTTTGGCCACCTAGCCTATACTCTGTCTGTGGTCTTCTGTGCCCCTCCCCCATCTTCATGACTTTGCATTTGGCAGGATTAAATTCGAGAAGCCATTTGCTGGACCAGGTGTCCAGTCTGTCCAGGTCTCTTTGAAGTCCTGCCTGGTCCTCATCAGATTTAATCCTCCTCTTTAACTTCACATCATCTGCAAACAGGGACACTTCTGAGTCTAACCCTTCCGTCATGTCGTTCACATATACCAAAAATAGCACTGGTCCTAGGACCGACCCCTGTGGGACCCCGCTCGTCACAGGTGCCCACTGTGATACATCATTACGTACCATGACTCGTTGTTGCCTCCCTGTCAGGTATTCTCTGATCCATTGCAGTGCCCTTCCTGTTATATGCGCCTGATGCTCTAGCTTCTGCACTAATCTCTTGTGAGGAAACTGTGTCAAAGGCCTTCTTGCAGTCCAAGAAGATGCAATCAACCCACCCCTCTCTCTCTTGTCTTACTTCTGTTATTTTATCATAAAACTCCAGAAGGTTTGTGACACAGGATTTGCCTTCCGTGAATCCGTGCTGGTTGGCATTTATACTCCTGTTCCGTTCCAGGTGCTCCACCACTCTCCTCCTGATAATCTTCTCCATAATTTTGCATACTATACACGTCAATGACACAGGTCTATAGTTTAGTGCCTCTTTTCTGTCTCCTTTTTTAAAAATGGGAACTACATTTGCCGTCTTCCATACCTCAGGTAGTTGCCCAGTTTCCAGGGATGTGTTGAAGATTGTGGTAAGTGGCACGCACAACATATCTGCTTCCTCTCTAAGGACCCACGGGGAGATGTTGTCTGGTCCCATTGCCTTTGAGGTATCGATGTCCCTTAGCAGTGTGTGTGTGTGTGTGTGTGTGTGTGTGTGTGTGTGTGTGTGTGTGTACGCACCTAGTTGAGGTTGCAGGGGTCGAGTCCAAGCTCCTGGCCCTGGCTCCTGTGTGTGTGTGTGTGTATGTGCGCGCGCGCGCACACACACACTCACCTATTTGTACTCAATATTTTTGTTTGCAGCGGTCGATTCTCTGATTTTGGACCCGCCTCTTAACTTGACACTCCAGATCCTCTCCCTCGTAGCCTCGCGGGCCCTACTGTATGTGCTCTTAAAACTATCCACAGAGCCTGTATCCACCACTTCCTGACCAAGATCCTTCCACTTCCCGACCATTCTGAAACTGAAGATATACTTCCTAAGACTTGTGGGTCTTTAAATTCTAATGGTGTCTCCGGGTTCTTGTTTCTCGTCCATCGAACAGCCTATCCCTCTCTATGTTGTATGTTTTTATGATGTCCTGATTCTTCTGTCCTATGTCCTTAGATTCATTTCCGTTAGCTTTTCCTTGTAGCTCATGCCTCTTAGCTCAAGAACAAGCCTTGCTGCATACTTCTGCACTTTATCCAGTTATAAACATGTTTTTATAAGGTGCGGGTTCCATACTGGTGATGCATATTCCAAGTTTGGACTGATTATCTCGTCTTCCAGTGTCTTTTGTATATATTTACTTCAGATTATAGCCATGCATTGTACTGATAAAGCCACTGGATGGCATAACGTCTACAAAGTAGATATCCCAGATGTTGCACATGTGTCTAATTCATTATCAATGGTATACGACATCAGCAAGTTGAAAAATAAGACACATATACAACACTTTGGTATCATTAATCCTCGAAACGTTTCGTCTACACAATAGGGTTCTTCAGTCAACTGCAGAGGTGATTAAAATTGTAGACAGCAGAAGTGGTGGAGAAATAAAGATGACGTATCAGTCCATTAGCTTAAAGCAGTCAGTAGTTTTGAAGTAGTCGGCCTTGAGTAGTGTCTGACGCAGCAAAACCATTGTATTTCCAAAACCTTCCACAATTTACTTTTCACCAGTTATGAGTGAGAAGGGCTGGAGTTGAGAGAGATCTGCCTAGCAAAGGCTAGTGCCCCAGCTCTCCTCAATTTTTATGTTCTATAACCAGTGGGCCCCGACTCCTATGACGCCATCTTCATTCCCATTCCATACCTCACGTCTGGTTTCAGTAAAAAAAAAAAACGCGATTCTCATGCTTCATCTTCACACTGGTCAGGACCATGAAGCTGGACGCTTCTCGACGCTGAGGAACTACCGCAAAACCACTTCTTCAAAGATGATGGATATTACATTACCTTTACCTCTCCAGCCCCTTTTCTATTTGAAATTTTTGTCATATCTGAATTCGACCAAAGAAAACCTATTGTGTAGGCGAAACGTTTCGGAAATAAAGATACCAAAGTGTTGCACATGTGTTTTATTCATCACATTATTAATATTTAAACCACTCAAAAGGTGTTTACCTCTAAACACCTGATTCTGGCAATATGTCTTCATAAAATCTACATGAATAAAATAGTAATATTTGGTTTGATAAAATTAACGGTATAATGATAAATAAAACACAGTATATATATTTTTTAATTCGCTGATGCAATAAGAAATATTTAGGATAATGAACTTGAAGTTTAAATAAATATATAGGCCGTTTCTAATACTATTAAATGACTCTGTGGAATTACCTTTGCTTGTGGTATGCAGATCTCTGTGAAAAAACAAGAGTACTCGTCATAACTGCAGTGCGTCAGAGGCGGTGATGGATGACGCTGGCATTGTGGACTGAGGGTAACATTGTCCACCACAACACTGCCACTCGACGCTTCACCCTCCAGCAGTACCTGCCACAAATTACAATAATGTAAGTGAGAAAAAAGAAATCGCCTCCCTACCCACCGAGGGACACAGCTAATCAAAATTAGGCAAAAATTTTTGTTATAACTTATATTTCTGCACCAGATTCAACTTAGCACCCTAACCTAATCTTCTTGAAATTTACATACTATAAAAATTGGTCAATTTACCTAAGAATATATATATATATATTATATATATATATAATTATATATATATATATATATATATATATATATATATAATAAATCAAACCCATCTGAAAGAATAGAGAAATTCCAAGCGCTTTCGTGACTACTCACATTATCAAGGAACTATGTCCTTGATAATGTGAGTAGTCACGAAAGCCCTTGGAATTTCTCTATTCTTTCAGAGTGGTTGTTTTGCATATTCTGAAATCACCTGTTTACTGTGATCTTATTGCATTTATATATATATATATATATATATATATATATATATATATATATATATATATATATATATATATATATATATATATATATATATATATATATATACAAACACATCAGCCGTTTCCCACCAAAGCAGGGTGACCCAGAGAAGAAGAAACACTTTCATCATCATTCACTCCACTGTCTTGCCAGAGGCGTGTCTCCACTACAGTTATAAAACTGCAAATTATCAATACCCCTCCGTCAGAGTGCAGGCACTGTACTTCCCACCTCCAGGACTCAAGTCCGGCCTGCCGGTGTCCTTGAATCCCTATATTAATTTTACCTTGCTCATACTTAAACGGCACGCCCAGTTCTAAAAACTACTTGCCTCCACAAGCTCCTACTTAACACGCTCATATATGCTTGCTGGAAGTCCTAGCCCCTTGCACACAAAACCTCCTTTACTCCCTCCTTCAACCTCCTCAGCCCTCTGAGGAGGTTGGAGGATGGGGTAAAGGGGGTTTAGCAACCCCGTATATCCTCCTTATTTCCAAACTACGGATTCTCTGCATTATATTCACACAACACAGTGCTCTCAGACCCATCTTCATTGCCTCCAGCCTTCTCATTGTTGCAACTTTCACCACCCATGCTTCACACCCATATATGAGCCTTGATATGACTATACTCTCATACATTCCCCTTTTTGCTTCTATAGATAACGTTGTCTCCACAGACTTCTCAGTGCACCACTCACCTTTTTCCCCTTATCAATTCTATGATTTACCCTGTCTTTCATAGACTCATCTGCTGACAAGTCCACTTCCATATATCTGAATGCTTTCACTTCCTCCATACTCCCTCCAATCTGATATCCAATCTTTCATTATCTATTTTTTTGTTATCCTCAACTACTTACTCTTTCCTATGTTCACTTTTAGTTTCCTTCTTTTACATATCCTACCAAACTCATCCACCAACCTCTGCAACATCTCTTCACAATCTCTCAAAAGCACAGTGTCATCAGCAAAAAGAAACTGTGACAACTCCCACTTTGTGTTAGTCTTTATCTTTTAATCCCACACCTCTTGCCAACACCCGAGCATTCACTTCTCTTACAACCCCATTTATAAATATACTGAAAAACCAAGAATATATATATATATATATATATATATATATATATATATATATATATATATATATATATATATATATATATTATATATTATATATATATGTCGTGCCGAATAGGCAGAATTTGCTATCTTGGCTTAAATAGCAACGCTCATCTTGCCATATAGGACAAGTGAAAATTTGTGTATGCAATAATTTCGCCAAAATCATTCTGAACCTAACGAAAAAAATACATTTGACTGTGTCTGTTTAGTATTAAATTACTGTAAACAAACCTAAAATATATTTAGTTGGGTTAGGCTAAAATAAATTGCTCTTGTTATAATAAGGTTAGGTAAGTTTTCTAAGATTCTCTTGGTGCAAAATTAAATTTTTTTACGTTAACATTAATGAAAAAAATATATCTTTAAACGTATAAGAGAAAATTTTAGAAAGGACTTAATTTTAAGTGAGTTCTTGCTAATTGACCAGTTTTACATATTCGGCACGACATTATATTATATATATATATATACATATATTATATATATATATATATATAATATATATATATATATATATTATATATATATATATATATATTATATATATATATATTTATGTCGTGCCTAATAGGCAGAACTTGCGATCTTGGCTTAAATAGCAACGTCATCTTGCCAAAAAGGACAAGTAAAAATTTGTGTATGCAGAAAATTTCGCCAAAAATTTTTTTCTAAACCTAACAAAAAAAATATATTTCACTGTGTTTTTTTAAAGTTTTTAAATTTAATGTAAAAAATTTCTAAAATATATTTAGTTGGGTTGGGCAAAAAAAATTTACGCTTGTTATAATAAGGTTAGGTAATTTTTCTAAGTTCCTTTTGGTGAAAAAATTAAAAATTTTTTTTACATAAACATTAATGAAAAAAAAATTTTTTTTAAAGAAAAAAGAGAAAATTTTAGAAAGGACTTAATTTTAAGTGATTCTTGCAATGCCAGTTTTCCCATATTCGGCACGACAAATATATCTTTAATTTTATATATTATAATAAAATATATATATATATATATTATATATATATATATTTTATTATTTATATATTATATTATTTATTTAACAACCCCGGGGGTTCTCCCCCCGAGGCAGGGTGCCCCAAAAAAAAAAGAAATCCCCAAAAAAAAAATACTTTCATCATCATTCAACATTTTAAACCACACCAAAACCCTGTTTTTGCAGGGGGTGCTCAAAACCAACAGTTAAAAGGGCATTTACATAAAAAAATAACAAATTTCCCCCAAACCTAAATATCCCGAACCCCTCCTTTAGAGTGCAGCATTGCACTTAACTTTCCCAGACCCCAAGTCCGTCTAAAAAAATAACCCCCTCCCCAATTTGTTTATCCATTTTAATTTTCATCAAAAATCATTAGTTTACCCTCATCCCCCCTTACTCTTTTCTATGTTCCCCTTTCAATTTTCCCTACCTTTACACACCTCCCAAACTCGCCCACAAAATTTTTGTTTTCCTTTAGAAATCCTCCCAAAAGCCCCCAGAACCCAAGAAAAAAAGCAACTGTTCAATTCCCATTTTGTATTTAATTCCCCAAAATTTTAAAATCCCACCCCTCCCCCGAACCCCTGGGAATTTTACTTTTTACAACCCCATCTAAAAAATATTTTAAAAAAAACCAGGGTGACTTTACACATCCCTGTTTTAAGCCTACTTTTACTGGGAAGTATTTCTCCCTCTTTTCTTCACACCCTAACCTGAGCCCCCACTATCCTATAAAAATTTCTTTACAACATTTAGAAACTTACCACCTTTCCATACCCTTGAAAACATCTGCCACATTGCCCCCCTATCCCTTATCTTTAAGCCTTTTCTAAAAAACTTTAAAGGGAAAATAAAAATTTTATCTAAATTTGTTCGCATTTTGCTTCAAGGGTAAACACTTGTTTTACACATCCCTCCCCACTCAAAAACCCTCCTTGCACCCGCAATCCTTTATTCTGTCTTACCTCTAATTCTTTCAATTAAAACCCCTCCCGTAAACTTTTCCTGGTATACTCAGAAAAACTTTTTCCCCTCTAAAATTTTTTTAAAAATCTTTTTTGTCCCCCTTCCCTTTATTAAAGGGGGGCTATACATGCTCTCCGCCAATCCCTATGTACCTTTCCCCCTTTCATTCATTTAAATTAAAAAAAAAAAATTTCCCAAAACCCCTCCAAAAACTATATTTTCCCCCCGCTTTTTAAAATTTCTTCATGATCCGTAATTCCCGCTGCTTTTCCCCCTTTTATTTTACGCAATATCTTTTACGGGACCCCCCCCACACTCCCCTTCCCGTTCTTCACTCCCAAAAAATGGTATAGGGTCCCTGGGGCCGTGCATGAAATTACCGGGCCCCCCCTTTATATATTTTATGGGCGTGCCGAATAGGCAAATTGCCATTTGGTTTTAAAAAGGGAAAAACCCCATCTTGCCTAAAAGGACAAACGAAAATTTTTGTAAAGCAATTAAAATTTTGCCAAAATCATTTGGAAAACCCAACGAAAAAAATACATTTCACTTTGTTTGTTTAGTATTAAGTTATTGTAAAAAAATCTAAAATTTTGTTTGTTGGGTTAGGTAAAAAAAATTGTTCTTGTTTTTTAATAAGGTTTAGGGAAGTTTTCTAAGATTCTTTTGGAGCCCCAAAAATTTAAATTTTTTTTTCAATTTAAATTAATGAAAAAAAATATCTTTAAACGTATAAGAGAAAAATTTTTGAAAGGGAAATTAATTTTAAATGGTTCTTGTAATTGACCAGTTTTTAAAATTTTTCGGCAGAATATATAAAATATTTTAATATATATATATATATATATTTATAAATTTTTTTATATATATATATATTTTTATATATATATGCAAGGGGAAATTTGCCCAGGAAAGCGAATTTACACAAACATGAACTCTGGTGAAGGAGACTCGAAACTTCGAACCTTAGGAAAAGGTACGCAGGCCTTTTTCCAATTTACCCACACTGGAACCCTTTCCTGGGTGGTTTTTGCATGCGCCCACACGTTTGATCCAAGGCAGACCCGCTTTCAGGGAAGGGGAAAGGGTTAAAAAGCTTTTTTCATCCCCCCGCCCGATCAGCCTTTTCTAGAGTTTTAAAAAATGCAAAGGGAAAAACTGTTTAAACCTTCTCCCCGAAAACTGGCTGCCTTGGATCCCAAAGTTTTAGGGCATGTACACGCCCAAAGGGATTGGTCCCCGTGTGGGTAGATTGGGAAAGCACTGCGTTCCCTTTTCCTAAGGTTCGTAGGTTCGAAATCTCCTTTTAGCCCGAGAAACAAATGTTTTTATTATATAAAATATATCTATTTTATATATATATATTTTATAAAATATTTATTATATTATATATTATATTTTAGTGGAACCTCGGGATTCAAAAAATTTTCCGAACCCCGAACGGAATGGGGTCCGAAAAATTTGGTTTGAAAAAAATTTACCGGTCTTTGGAAAAATTTTTCTGGATTCCAAAAAGGGCCCGCTTGTTTGAAAAATCGTTTGGGAGAAAGCTTTTCCGAAAAAACCCTGTTTTAAAAAATGCTTTGAAGTGACCTCTGACCTGACCTAACTCTCAGAGGGCTTTTGGAAGGTTAACTGTGAGGGTAATAAATTTAAAGGGCCCGAGTAATACGGGTTTTGGACATCGAACTTTTCTGCAATTAGGGGTAAAAAATGAGGGGTCTATGGGTTGATATTTTATATATTATTTTATTTTATTTATATATATATTATTATATATTATAAATATATAAATATATAAAATATATAATATTATATATTTATTAAAATATAAGAAGGAAAATTTACCCAAAACTTCAACGAGCCTCCTCCCCCTCGAAAAAAAAAAAATTTGGAAAGATTTTGGGAGAGCAAGAATTAACAGTTTCTTTGCTAAAGGGGTGGAAATTTTGGGGCCCCCCTTTTTGCTTACCTCTGCTTTGTTTTCATTTCTATAAAAAAAAAACTCGGGTTTTTGCGACTTTTTTTTTAAATTTTAATTTAAAAAAATTAAAAAATACTACATAGCAATAAGATGATTTTTAAGATGCAATCAAATTTTAACAGCAGTTCTGAAGACAGGCAAATATTAAACTATTTCAATATTAGGTTGAATGGGAGATATGTTATAGTATGCCATTCAGCCTGTGATAGTAACACCATTGTTCATGGATGGATTTCCTTGAAAAAAAAGAGCAGGGTTTGAGAAATTTCATTCAGACTCTTCCTATAAACAGGCAGATTTATTCTTACTGGTGGTTTAGTTTATAAAAATATACTGAAAAACTCAAATATTACTAGCAGAGATAAAACCGACATAGCTTCTTAAGTACTATGACTACTAAACCTCTAAAATATTAGTAGCATGCAATAACAACAGTAGCAGACAGTAATCCCTTCACTTACGTACTGCTTGTACATAGAGTATCGAGAATTAGTGTAAAAAGCTTGGAAGCCTATATTGAAATCTTACATAAAATGGCACCGTAGAAGAGAGAAGTAGTTCCTTGTAAGTCCAGTCGGTCAATATTGTGTCATTTCCAGAGATGGTTCTCTTCCTGAGCACTTGACCACTGGTAGCATCCACCTGGTGAACACGGAGCGCTGACAACCATCCCATCACCCGGTGTTGCAGCCCAACCTGTTGCATTTAATGAAAACATCTTCATCCACAGACCATGAAATAATAAATAAGTTTATACTTACATACATATACATACACACACATCAATATATTTTATATATATATATATATATATATATAATATATATATATATATATATATATATATATTATATATATATATATATAATATATATATATTATACATATATATATATTATATATATATAATTATATATATAAATATATATATATATATATATATATATATATTTTATATATATATATATATATATATATAATATATATATTATATAAGGAACCCCCTTCCCTCTTATTCTATACTAAGAATTAATATAAAGAAGTACGTTCACATACGCAAACATGTTCAAAATTAGGTTAGGTAAGGTTCGTCAGGAAACAGGACAAATGTTTCCTGACGCGGGTCTTAGTCAGATGATGACCCGCCTTTGGAGCTTTTGGTCATCTGACCGAGGCCTTCCGCTGGCTTACCGGTCCACCCCTTTAAAAATTATGGTCATTTATAACCAGTCTATGTTCAAAATTTGCACCTTTCAGTTATATAATAAGTAATTTATTTTTTCTTTTCTTAGTGCTGGCAAACTATATAATGTAAAAAAAATATAATGTTATTATGATTATATCATTAATATGTACACGCTAACATTATAAGTTACAAAATTACCGTATGCATTGTAATGTTTTCCAGGGTAGACATAGTAATTACTATTCCCCCCCCCCCAAAAAAAAATGGATGTCAATGTTCTTGTTCAAAGCCTATTAATTAAGACAATACTATGGTATATCATTTTCATGTAGCCAAATGTTGTAAGTAAAATAATGAAAAACATTCTGGAAAGGTGAATAATAATAAGTTAAAATACTTAGCTTAATAGTGGGTCATTAGAGTTGCTCGTGGAAGCCTCACATTCAGCCCGTCTTCCAAGTTAAAGTTTAAAATGGGATATCAACACTGTGGTACTACAGTGATCGAGACACTTATACAACATTTGGTTATCCTTACTGTGGAAACGTTTTGCCAGCCAGCGGCTTCTTCATTCTAATCCTGAGAAGAACGGTGGAAGATGAGTTTGAGGTAATCAGTCCCTCAGCCTGGAGTCGATGTGTTCAGTCCATCTAACTCCTCATCTCCCACCTTTCTTCTCTGTATTGAACTGAAGAAGCCACAGGCTGGTGAAAAGTTTCCAAAATAGAGATACCCAAATGTTGCACAAGTGTCTCATTTATCAACTTGTCGACTTAGTTTTAAACCATTTATGTAATACAATGATCGCGCCTACCAGACGCAACTAACTGTTCATTATCGTTATTATCGGTTAATTATGAAGTAAATATAGGTTCATATACGTGAACTTAACCAAAACCTAGATTAACAAATATTAAAACTTTTGTAGAGGCTTAGATCAAACAGAAATCATCGAACTATGTGTACAAAAACGCCAATGAGGGACACCCACGGCTGTTTTCTACTGGACCTGAGAGAGCATGACACGATTTTGCATATTGCGAAGGCGGTTTGAAACATTTATTTCTGTTTATTTATAACTTGAGAAATAAACATTTATACCGCTTTAACTATTACTGCTAGCAATAGTGGCAGACGTAGTAGAAGTATTATTATTATTATTACACATTTCATTCATGACAACCACGTACTCACCTTGCAGAGTCTGGAAGGAAGGAAGATAGGACTAGTGACTCTGCCAGTAATCAGGTCCCCGTCGCCTTCACCCTCAGACGCTAAAGCCAACACATGGTTCTCAAAGTGAGTCGTAGGACCCAAAATGAGTCGCAGCTGTGTAACTTCTGAAGCTCCTGAAAGCGACCAACCGCAAGCGTCCCCTTTCTCGAACCCACATCTCCATCTCTCTACTCACACATTAAAATAAAAGAGCAACTGTTGCAAAATAAACGTTAGTGTGGAAATTAGAAGTGGAGCATTTTATTTCAAGTTACTATCACTGGTGTGTGCATCATGCCTTCCACTATTAAGGTTCCTATTGAATCAATCACTAGTGAATTTTATTACTACTACTACTATTATTATTATTATTTTCATTATTATTTATTACACTGGCCAGCAAATTTTAACTTTTTATTCATTTCAGGAACAAAATTAATTGTTTTTAGCTAATTTTGATGTGGTGATGACGAATCTGAACTTCAGCCTTTACTTAAGTTTCTTTTTTAAATCTTATGATCAGTATTTTGGCTACTTAAGGTTGAAGAACTACATTATATATGTTAAATAACAATAATAGATATTATATTATGCACATATATTTAGCGGTGTATGCAATGACAAAATCTCATCTTTTTTTACGTAGCATACACACACACATATACGTATATAATATATATAAATATATATATATATATATATATATATATTTTTATATATATCTATATATATATATATTTATATTTATGTGTGTGTGTGTGTGTGTGTGTGTGTGAGTGTGTGTGTGTGTGTGTGTGTGTGGTGTGTGTGTGTGTGTGTGTGTGTGTGTAAATACGTAACTAGTTGTAAAAGGTTGAGTTGTACTAGTTTATGAAATTACATTACAGTTCAATGCAACATAGGCTATTTGAAGATTAGGGACATTGATCATTCTGAGCAAAAAAAAAAATGTTAATTAATACTGCATGTCAAAATGAAGGGAGAGGAATATAGTGACAATGATGATTAAAACAATAACTCGTGTAGTAGTTTCTTTAAGTTTCAGCAGACATGTATATATAAATTTATTATAATAATCATTCTATGTAAAGCTGTTGCTACAAAAGCTTTCAGAGAGGAATGTAACATACGGCACAATATATGGGAGTATTATTTATTTATTTAATTTATGTTAAGCGCTTAACCAATGTGGGTTATTCAGCGCAAGGCATGGTGGAGGCTTGATCCTCAGTCTCGTGAGAGCGAGACAAACGTGTTTCCTATTTGTACTCGCCTAGATGTATACATATATGGGAGTAGAAACACAGCGGCAACAAGTACAGTCTTCCATTGTAACAGATATAGCGTCTGATCATTTCCCAAGGCTAACCTCTCCAGATATTGGTAATACTATTCTCCCTGGTGGGATATTCAAACGGAAACGTCTTAATGTTTCCCCTGATCAACATGATGACTTTGTTGCACATGATGACTGACTGGTATAATTCCTATGAGTGTACCTCTGTCGAGACTTTTAACAATGACCTTGTGAGCAGTATTCAGAACTTCTTAGAGCCGCCTCTGAAACTCCTACTTACTCTAAATCCAAATGTCTTCCATAATAATATAAGTCTTATAAAAATCTTTACTATTACAATGTTTCTAACACTGTCGAACATTGAAACGTTACTGCTCGCAGACTAGGCCTGCCTATAGATAACCATCGTACCCTGAAAATGCGAGCCTTTCAAACTGCCCCTTGCTTGCTGCCAGAGAGCGTTATGACAGAGCTGCGGCAAACAGATGGTGAACAATTTGTCAAATGGTCTCAATGCTCCACACCCCACTTAGCCGGGCATGGAGGGACATAAATTAGAATTATGGGTTAAGAACTGGGCAGGATCGCGCACCCCTCATCCCTGCATAGGCGAATGAGTTAGTCAGTGCTGGGGCTGCACATCTAGCTTGACAGTCTTCCCAGTAACCACACAGGCGAAATTATGGACAAATATGATGCAAGGGAAGAGACGTGTTTGCTTTATGCTCACAAGGCAGATGGGACTGCAACCTTCCTTTTCACTAATTATGAACGTGATGCAGCACTAACTAGGGCAAAACCCACGTCGCTCTGTGAGGATGGTATTACTTACAACCATACTCAGATTGCTGTGTCGAGTACCAGGGTAATCTTTACTTGATTATAGAACAGAGTTGTCACTGGGGAGCTCCCTAATCATGGACCAATAGCCTCATTATTCCCATTCAAAGACCAATCAACAAAATCATTTCGCCCACTATCCCTTACTAGCCTGCTTGTGTAAAACATTTGAAAGGGATGATTCTTAATCGTCTTATGCCCAGAATTAAGGAATTCTTGTCACCCGGTAGCATGGCTATGCATGGAAGGAGTTGTGATCATTTGCATTACCACCTTTCTCACTCAGCAACTGACAGCTCATACCTACGTTCCTTGACCTTAAATCCGCTTTTGATGTAGCCAACAAGACATGTAATCATTAGTGAACTTGCCTGAATGGATTTGGAGGATGGCTTCTCGCTGGATTAAAGGTTACTGTCTCCAAAACAGAAAGTCGTCTGGTTGTTCCAGGGACCTAGAAGTGTAACTAAAGATTTTGAATTAGAACCCACAGGGAGGTGTGCTTAGTCCCCCTTTTCACATTTTGATTTAATGCCTTAACTAATGCCAAGCCTAGCCCGCCCCATCATTATATGGTCGTTTTGCGATGACATCATGATTCACAACACGGATTCTCCAACACCCAAATACATTCTTAATCATGTTTTAGCCTCGTGTCAGGACCTGGGCGTTGTTTATAATGCTCAGGGATAAAACAAAGATACTCAACAGGGGTCCTCTCGGCAGAGAGGCACACGTTTCGTCAGATCCCAGTTAGCTTGATGGGTCTCTTCTAGAATATGAAGCAGATTCAGGTATCTAGGCTTTGAGTTCCACTACTTGGACCTGTATGTAACGAGATTTGTTGGCCCATACAAAGAAAGGCTGAGCGCGCTTAGAGTGGTGGCAGGTTTTCATCCAGGTATGGTGGCTAATGTTAAAATGTGAAAATGAGTATCGTGCTTATATTAGATCTTGGTGATTATGCAGCGCACTACTTGCACTGTGTCTGACTGGAAGCTTTGGAGGGCTGGAAAAAAAAAACTGCACAAAAAGAAGCAAGAGGATCATCCTAGGATGCCCTCGTACTGCTAAAATTTTAATATGCGGAAAGAACTTAATATTCAAGCATTAGAGATCGTGTATTACTGAAGAAATATCCTTATTGGGGTAATTTCGCTTAGGTTTCCCATTCAAACCCCTGACAGAAGCCTCCAAACTTTCCTAGCATTGGTGAACATCCTTCCAGATGGATCGAACAAACTGGAAACCGACCTCGCACTGACCAGATACATGATCTATATTCAGTTGGACACAGAGACATTTCCTGTCCATGGGATATTACCCCATTCCAAACTACATTCCTCCATTTCCCCAAACTCTTCTTAAAATCACAACAAAGCTTCGTCTGAAGCCAACATGATGGCCTTAAGCTGTATTGATACTTAGTCACACAGAACAATCTTTCCACAAATTATTTTTACGTTCGATGGTTCTGTTCACAGTCCACTGGTGCAGCTGGTAGTGCTGCTGTTGTCACACCGAGTGATGGTCTCATCAAGAAAATGGAGCAACGCATCAATAACTGGGCTTACCCTTCAAACAGAACTGTTTGCCATACTCCTTGCACTCAATATGTCCATGTATCTAAGGTTGACACTTTATTGTAACTGATTCTCTGTATCCATAAATGCTCTCAACTCATTAAGTATAAATTGTGGCATGCTTTTGTCAGAAGCCAGACACAGGTATGGTAAGATTGTGGACAGTGGAGTCAGAGTGCACATGCTGTGGATTCCATCTCACATTGGTCTTCAGATGCATGATAGAACTGAAAAAATTGGCTAAGCTGTATGCTTTCAAAGAGGGAGTAGATTACAATCTTGGCTAGTCAGGTAGTAGTTTGAGAACAATAATACGAAAAGAACTTCAGCTGAATTTTATGGACTTAAGGCTCAGGGAGATTGACACCAGTGAGTCCATCTATCATCATTCTATCATGCAGGAGGAGCCACATGTCTATGGTGCATCCAACAAGATAAGTAGACTCTTGGATGTCACTACCGCCCGGCTCCGGCTGGGTTACAAGTATCTGTGGCAGGTTAAATCACCACCACCAGATGTAGACCAAACGAAATGTAAACTTTGCCAGATGGACTATTGTCACACATTGCGTCATTATGTACTGGAGTGTGATAAAATTAATGAATTTAGAAACAACTCACTCAGAAGTGTTCAAGAAATGGCTAAGTATTTTATCCACAGTGGTATATTGCAGACCATTCTGGAGAAATACCCTGACTTTGCTAGCTGTAAATAAAGCATTACCGCATGTGTGCATGTGTGTGTGTGTGTGTGTGTGTGTGTGTGTGTGTGTGTGTGTGTGTGTGTGTGTGTGTGTGTGTGTGTGTGTGTGGGTGTGTGTGAGGGTGTGGTGTGTGTGTGTGTGTGTGTGTGTGTGTGTGGTGTGTGTGTTGTGTGTGTGTGTGTGTGTGTGTGTGTGTGTGTGCGTGCGTGTGTGTGGGGTGTGTGTGAGGGTGTGTGTGCGGGTGTGTGTAGGGTGTGGTGTGTGTGTGTGCGTGTGTTGTGTGTGTGTGTGGTGTGTGTGTGTGTGTGTGTGTGTGGTGGTGTGGGTGTGTGTGTGCGTGTGTGGGTGTGTGTGTGCGTATGTGGGTGTGTGTGTGTGTGTGTTGGGTGTGTGTGTGTGGGTGTGTGTGAGGGTGTGTGTGTGGGTGTGTGTGAGGGTGTGTGTGTGTGGGTGTTTGGTGTGTGTGTGTGTGGGTGTGTGTGTGGGTGTGCGTCCTTGTGTGTATGCATATATTTGTACTCAGATATGGTAAACATGAGGAAATTAAATCTTCATCAGAGTACAAAACAAATTCTGGCCACGAAATAGAGCGAAACACCAACGTCAAAGACCTGGGAGTGATTATGTCGGAGGATCTCACCTTCAAGGACCATAACATTGTATCAATCGCATCTGCTAGAAAAATGACAGGATGGATAATGAGAACCTTCAAAACTAGGGAGGCCAAGCCCATGATGACACTCTTCAGGTCACTTGTTCTATCT